TATAACACTTCCTGGAAAGGGAGATCTGCTGTTTGAAATTCCTTTACATTCTGTCTCATTTATAAGTTCTTATCTCATGCTCTATTACTATCCTTCCAGACTCCGCAAGAGCCTCATGTCTGTGACTATAGTTCAATTATAGAGTAGGAGACAAAAGCTTCTAAAGCAAATTTCACACACACTTTAAAGCAGCACTATCCAGAATATCTCCAATCACACACTTTGAAGCAGCACTATCCAGAATATCTCCAATCACACACTTTGAAGCAGCACTATCCAGAATATCTCCAATCACACACTTTGAAGCAGCACTATCCAGAATATCTCCAATCACACACTTTAAAGCAGCACTATCCAGAATATCGCCAATCACACACTTTGAAGCAGCATTATCCAGAATATCGCCAAACACACACTTTGAAGTAGCACTATCCAGAATATCTCCAATCACACACTTTGAAGCAGCACTTAGATGTAGCAACCAAGCTATATTAGCCAAGCTAATGACCACAACCCTTATATAACTCCTAAAAGCACCACCCACTAGGAATGTTCAACACCTGGGTAGGCCTCTGCTTATTTGCAAACAATAGCTAATTAACCAACAATCAATAGCAAACACTTAGGTAATCAAATGCCTTACCAACTACCAACAGGAATTCAAACATTGTGAGTTTTCAATCCTGAAAAACTGACTAGAGCACTGTTGTATGTTTATCATATATTAACACTTCCCACTGTACGATGTGACACATAGCCCATTGCATTTCCTAAAACTTTTAACATCAAATCACATGCATTATCTTAAACAATCAGAAATGATTTGGAAATAATTCATAACGATAATAATCTACCCCATGTTTTTGTTTATGCTACTCTTTATCAGCTACAGATGGGGAGCCAATTTACATGATATTCTGGTAAATACCGACCAATATAACCAGTGTAACATGCCTGATGGCCGTGTGAATGTGGGGTGCTCCAGATGTTTAGGTTGTGCAGCATACAACCACATGACTTCAGGTACAGTATTCAATCACCCCCACCCGGGGAAGTGGTACAAGATTAGAGATAGTATCACATGTACAAAATTATTTGCCCTGCATTCTTGTCTATCTTAACACAACCCAAAATGATTTAATAGTTTCAAAACCATTGACCTTCAATCAGAAATGCTACTATGGATCCTAGAACATCCCCAGTAGCAGGACATTTTTGATGGCAGGTCATTCTGAGTGGGAATTTGAGCCTTGTATATTTCATTTATGTGCTTGTATACTGAGTAGAGTATACGGAGTAAGGTTGTTACATTTGCTTCATATGATTATGATGTAACATTTGAAGCCATCACAAGAGTATATAACGGTTTGTTGCTTATTCAAGTGACGTCAAGCTATTATCTTACTATTATAGCCTCTATCTACTTCTCTGCTCTCCATCATGTATTTATTTCTCTATTCTTGGTTGTTTTACATGTATGTATACATTGCTCAACTTTCAGACCAGAACTGGCACATTACTAATGAAACCACAAGATTGAAACTGCAGTCCATGGTTGCTTTCTGTGTACTGATCCTTCTGGGTCACAGTCCATGCTTGTGTTTAAAACAGTGTCCATTGCTATTGATATCTGCAGAAATATAGTATGAAGTCATGAAGTCTAAAACACAATGCCTGTCTGTGCTCATTTACATCAAGATGGGAACTCTGGGATAGTTGTTGAAACAAGATTTCTCAAGTTTTTTTGCCCAAAAAGGACTTTTCAATGTCCAACTTAAGAAATTCTGGTGATGCATAACAATAATTTTTGTATTTGCACTGGGGAGTTTTATCATGTTTGATGTGCGTGTATATATATATATATATATATATATATATACACACATTAAATATATTTGATATATGTAAGCAGTCTAGTATTCATTAGAATGTAGGAGTGCTTTTTCAAAATAATTGCAAGAAATGGTTGACTTTTTCTGAAATTAAAGACAAAAATAAAAGGTATCGTAGTATGATTTTCTTTATTCCCCAGACATATGCCAGTTCATGGTATCATTTATACATCACTGATAGATGGATCTTTACTATTGGATGAACCATGCTATGTACTCTCAGAAAAAAAAAATATATATTAGACAGATACTTCAAAATGATTTTGGACTTGTTACATGAAGGCAAAAGTTACTGCAACATAGTTAAACATGAACCAAAAGACTTGGCACAATCACATTATATCACCATTTTTGTCCTTCCGGGAGGCATAACCACCTAGCAAAGCTAGTGGGTATGTGGCAGCCTCCCGAAGAAATATGTTGCCGTGCTAAAAACGCTTGTGCTGTGCTCCTGCACAGCAACAGCGTTTTAGCCAATCAGGTAATCAGGACAGCCGTGTAGCCCGTCCACCTCAAGAGCGTTTGCTCATTCATCCTCCCTAAGCTGGTCCTGCTCCAGACAGGGATCACTGGAGATTGATTGGGAGTGCGAGGAGGTGGTTCGCTCTGCAGCTTCCACTGAACAAAGGGAAGTTGAGCAACATTCAGATGGACAGAGTGAGCCTTTTAGGTAAAGTGTTCCCTTCAAAATTATTCCATTCAAGATGGGCCATCGAACAAGAATCAGAAGTCAGGGATTTTACCAAACTAGCTTTCAGATCACCACTAGTTAAAGAGGATGATCTCCTGCTTAGAAATCATATTGGTATCCCTGACATTCAGGCGTTAATGGCCCCTGAAATTGATCCAGCACTGTTATCCATTACAGGAAGCATGGATCAGACATTGCGCAATGCACAATTTAAAATTGCAGATGCTGTTGGTCCCCTGCTACTTATGTTGGTCAAGGCAGAGAAGCAGGGATCCTCTCATAACCATTCCCTACCAGCTTTACTTGCTTCTTAGATGGCACTTCTAAAAGCTCCCAGCAGAGCGGTGCTTATTATCGGTCAATCCTTCAACTATATTTCTAACATTCGCAGAACCCGCTGACTGCATGCAGCAAGGATGTCTGATTTAGCACCAAAATCACATGAATTCCCTAATTTTGAAAACTCCTTTCTATTTGGCCTCTCTTTTATACAAGAAGTGAAAGGACAATATAAAGTTAGAAGATCTTTATCCGATTTAAAGAAGAGCTTTGCAAGCTTCAAGAAGCCCTTTTGGACCTAGGGTCTTTCCTACAGGGCTACAGGCTTGTCCTGGGAAGTTACTCAGCAAGCCCACTTTTGTCACCATGGGGGAAATTCAAGACCCCCAGGCAGTAGCAGAGGAACCCATGCCAGATGTGGCTCATCAGGAAACCGAAGACCCATGCGGTCAAGTAAGTGGTTTACTTCACATCCCTCAAAATTGGTCAGATATAACCTCAGACAAATGGGTGCTTCAGATTTTCAAAAGGGGTTTACAACTTCCTCTCATTCAGTTTCCTTTCCAGAGTCAAGCTCTGGGCAGAGAGGTAAATCCAGTTCTAGATTCCTCTCTTTCCCAGGCATTAGCTCAGGGACAAATAGAATTTTGCAGATTTGTCAGTTTCAGATTGGATCAGTCCCTTGTTCCCTATTCCAGAATCAGACGGCACATGGAGACCAGTACTAAATGTCAAGGCTTTGAATGCTTTCCTAAAGAGGAAAAGGTTCAGGATGGAAGGTTTAACGGACATCCGAGGCCTAGTGCAGAAAAATGTCTTCTGCATAAAATTAGACCTCAAAGATGCTTTCCATTCAGTTCCTATCGCTATGAAACACAGACGCTTTCTCAGATTCTTCTGGAAGGAACAGATATATCACTTGACTGTAATGGTTTTTGGCCTATCCAACGCACTTTACACATTTTATATCCCACGTCAGGCAAAGAGGATTTCTATTCCTGTTGTTGAATCCAGAGGTAGATAATCTCATTCAGCAGAGAGATTATCTAATTTCCTTATTACAGGACCTGAGGTTTTTTGTAAATCTGCAAAAATCCATACTAGTCCCTACTCAGAATATCCTATTTCTGGGTTTCATGCTGAAGACTATGGATATGACCTTGGGTGTTCCCCGAGACAAATGGGAAAAAATCCTAGCTCAGATAACTTCAGCTGATGGTCCCTAAGAGATATAGTAAAGACTACTGGGAAGCTGATAGCATTAACACCGGGTTACGATGCTTCCCCCTTGCTATGCAGACAAAGTCAGCTGTTTCTAGGAAACCAACTAAGCCGGGGGGGGCCAGTGGGGGTCAAGGGTTGTCCTTCCCACGAGTGTCAGAAAAGAGCTAAACAAGATATTGGAAAGGGCAAGTCCACTTCCTCGCCCCCTTCTGGAAGGGCCATTCGAGTTAACCTTGACCACAGATGCTTCTACCAAGGGATGTGGTGCTTTCTCTGCCCAAGGCGCAATAAGAGGAGTTTGGTCACTTCAAGAAAGACTTCTCCACATAAACTTACTAGTTGAGAGCAATCAAATTAGCCCTCCAAGGCCTCATTCCGTTGAACCCCCTAGGTGTGTCGGTAATGGTTCAATCAGACAACAGGATAGCAGTAGCTTATGTCAACCACAGAGGGGGCACAAGGTCAAAAGGTCTTTGCCTAGAGGCCTTGGACCTGTGGTCCTAGGCTCTGGTTCACAAAGTTTGAATTTTGGCAGTTCACGTACCAGGAGAGGCAAACGAACTGGCGGATTCCCTGTCCCGCCAGTATTTGTCCCTTGCTACAGTCCAGTTAAAGAGTGCCTTATTTCAGCTGATAGAGAGCAGACTGTGCAAGAGACAGATAGCTCTTTTTGCATCTCAGACCTCGGCTCAGACTCCCAAATTTGTAACCAGGACTTGGGCAAAAGGGGCTTGGAAGATGGATGCGATGTCCTTCCAATGGACAGACATTCCGGGCCTTTACGCTTTTCCCCCTCCATCTAGTCTGATGAAGGTGTTAGAGAAACTTAGCAGGGACAGGGTGACCAATCTGGTTTTAGTGTACCCAATTTGGACCTCCAGACCATGGTACCCCCTGATCCAACCTCTAATCAGGGGACCAAAGGTTACATTAGGCTGGACAGCAGATTGCTTCCTAGGGACCAGCGATCTCTTAACCAAGCTCCCCCAACTTATGTGGATGGCAGCCCTGGTAGGCTTTTAACGCATCCTCTTCTGTCTGACCGGGTTTTAGACATAGTTAATTCTTCATTACGGCGCAGGACCAGGGTAAGATACAAACAGATGATCGAGGAATTTAAAGCATGGGAAGTTTCCTTTAATTCCCTTTCCCATGAATCTGACACAATCCCCTTAACTTTGGAATTCCTCACGCTCAAATATCATTCAGGGTTAGCAGTCAGTACGATTAAGACGTATGGTTCTAGATTAAATTTTCTAATCCCTAATCTCAGGTTACTCAAAGGGCTATCAGTCTGCCGGCCTTTTACTCCGAGACACACTTCCACTTGGGATGTGGACCTTTTATTAAACTACCTTAATTCTTTAGACAATGACCAGATTGACCTAAAATGGACGGCGATTAAATTGGCATCCCTTCTAGCTTTAGCTCTGGCAGCTAGAGGCTCAGAATTAACCCAGCTAAATATTGTCGAACCATGGTTGTCTCGAACTCCTTGGGGATTTCATGTCATCCTTAAAGGGAGACAGAAGACTTCCCATATTTTCCTGTAGAACTAGATTTGGTGCAGGATTCTGCTGAGCTGAGTTTATGCTTAGTTAATTTGTTAAATTCATACTTGAATCTTTCTGCCCCAGTCAGACAAGACTTTACACAATTACTTATCACCTCCAGAAAAACTTTTCGGCCAGCTAAGGTTAACACAATCAGTTGGATACTGACCGCTATGTCTGCATCGGGTATTGATGTCACGGTTTTTAAGGGTCATTCTATCACAGGGGCCTCAGCTTAAAAGCAGCAGCGAGAGGCCTTCCTCTTCCTATTATCCTTAAAGCTGCAAGATGGTCTTCCAGTAAGACTTTCGTTAAGTTTTACTGGAGGCCAACTGAAGTGGAACGTTTACAGTTCCTTAGGACCACCAGCAGGTGCGTGCTATTCAACCCACTAGCTTTGCTAGGTGGTTATGCCTCCCGGAGGGACAAACTAGAGTTTGCAGGAATCAATGACTTGCAAACTTTCTTTGTCCTAGGGATAAGCATAACCACCTAGCAAAGCGCCCATCCCTCCCTCCCCAGGTTTATTTCTATTGCCTGGTGGCGGCAGGGTATTTCTCTGGTTTGGGAATCTTCTAATTAAAGTAGTTTTGTGTGTTTGTTTTCTTTTTCACTTATATTTATTTATATTTATTCTGTTTATCTTTACAGATTACAACCGGCTACCCAGACAGGATCACCAAGCCAAGGACCCTCCTAAATAGTTCGGGAGGTTAAGAAACTTCTTCCAGAAGCTCTTTGATTATGTGTTATACTATACTAATATGTTTTGTTTTGTTTTTCACCTTCATGATCAAAGATTGTTTTGTTACATTTTCATAATAATATGTAATAATATAAGATTTCATACCCACACATAACTTCATAACATCAAAGGTGCCATTCATTTCATCATTTTTGTGTTGACTGTTCCCCTTGTTTCTGATAATTAATCTATCCACAGGTTGAGAGAACAGAACAACTAAAAATGAACCTCTGTAAGAATGCTAGTAGGTTAATACACAAAAATAAACCAACACATAAAAGATTAGATACATAAAAAAAAAAAAAAAAAGCAATTAGCTGGTTCAGAATAAATTTTAAAAAGCGTAAAACTGTTTTAAATCATTGCTGTAAAAATAGTGACAAGGTCAAGAAAATAGTTAATCAGCCAGAGGGAACATTTCACTGTATTTGTAACAATGCAACGGAGAACTTTATAGACACAGCATGTTGCAAAATGAGTATTACCTTTTCCCCATCTGGCGTTTCTATGTTTAAAGACTTGATGAAGAAGGAATAAAAAAATTGTATATGAAGAAATGACTTCTTTCCGCTTACTGTACCAGGATACCACAGTAATTCAACATAATTTTGTTAACAGATCATTTTAATGTGTGTTTTGTTTAGTTGATTAGTCTATTTAGCTGAGAGTTTTATTTGTATAGTATATTAAAGGAAATGATAACCATCTGATACTGATTAACGTTAATCTATAAAAACAGTTGTTTTAAGTTTGTTTAAAAAACAAATAGAAATTGCTCATTTATGAAAATTACACCTCTAAAACTAATGTAGATTCACACCAGTGATGCTTTTACGATCTATGATACTATTAAATTAATTGTTATTTCTTAAATATAACTGTGAGATTTTTTTTGCAAAGAATCTCAGGCAATAAAAGAATATTAACGCCTTCATTACTGTAGTTTACAATCATTAAGTATCATCATTACAGCATACATACGGTTATTTACTCAAGTGAGAATTATTAGGAATTCAATGAGAATTCAAAGTGCATTTTAAAATTAAGGCCAAAATAGCCACTGGGAAAATGCTAGCTATGTTTCAATTTTGTCTACTTTGGCCCCCATGTGCACCTAATTATAGTAAAATTGTATCTTTATTTCAGTCTGGTGCAGCTAGCTCTGCCTCTGATCTGCCTGCTTGGCTGACATCATCAGAAGTGTTGATCAAAGCCAGTCAAAATGCTTTCTCATAGGAAAGTATTGGATTGGCTAAGATTGCCAAGGAGGCAGATCAGGGGCAGAGCCAGCACAAGTCAAACACAGGCCTGGCCAATCAGCATCTCCCCATAGAGATGCATTGAATCAATGCATATCTATAAAGAAAGTCCAGTGTCTCCATGCAGAGGGTGGATACACTGAATGGCAGTGCTGCTTCACTGTGCATATTATTATTATTATTATTATTATTATTATTATATTATTATTTATAAAGTGCCAGCAAATTCCGTAGCGCTGTACAATGGGTGGACTAACAGACACGTAATTGTAACCAGACAAATGGACGCACAGGAACAGAGGGGTTAGTTGTTCTGGTGACTATAGTGTCCCTTTAAATTTGGAATTCACTTTGACTTTGCTTTAAATTTCTGACAATTCTCACTCTAGTCAATAACACTGATAATGTTTATACTACCTATACAACTTAGGCTTACAATGTTTCAGTGCATTAGTAACATACTTAAAAGGTTACTCCAAACACCACAACCACTTCAAAGATTTGAAGAACTAGAGTTCTGTCCTAGAAATGTCAGTTCTGTGCCTCAGAATTGTATTCTGTGAGATCACGTTCACAGCCAATAAATAGCAACAGCCATGGCTTCTGGCTTCTGTGACTGGAAGCAATCACTGGATCACCAATCAGCATTGTAGTCTTGCTAAACAGTTTGTCCCATTATCGGGTAATCAAGTCATTACCCCTGCAGCTGGTTTTAGTAGTTCTGATGATTGGAGTAACCTTTTGAGGTAGTTGTGTTCCACACTTATGTAAATAGATAGATATTCAGTTATTTTTCAGATATATGTTTATCATTTTAGTAAAGAATTAGATACTAGGAAAAAATTGATGACTATTAATATTCAAAAGTCCCATCTGGCCTAATTTTTTATCTAAAAGCAAAAGCACTGTTCTGGAATTTGCCTACCACAGTGGACTATACTCCAAGTTTGAATCCACATAATTAGTCTCTACCATGTCTTCCAGCTGTATAGTCTATGTAATTTAGTATTGGTTTTTTTTTAATGACAGCCATGGAATATTTATACTAGCTCCCCATTTGCCTATTTGTGTAATAATGAAGGCATTAACTGTGTAGAATTGCTCCAATGTTGAAATGCTATCATGTGATACATATTTATAATGTATGCGCCTCTGGGAAGGGAGGTAATTCAAATTATTGTGATATGAAATTAACCACAATTGAGACAAGGGACCAGTATTTTTCAGAAACTGGAAAAAAAAACCTTTGATTGTGAGGCATTGAAGCACATTAGTTCAACTAATTGTACAGGAATATGTCAAAATAAGAATAAAACACTCTCAGAATAAATCAATTAGTAATTCTCATAGTAGAGAAGTAGAAAATAAATTAAATAGAGAAAAAAAGCAAACTCAATTATCTTATGTTTAGTAAGTAAATTTCAGGAAATCACTACAATTAATAACATTAGTTATTATTAATAATGAATACTCAGTTGTATTATTAAACAAAAGTTTTAAACAAATATTTAATGGCACGTAAGAAGTAAAACAAAAAGGTGTGACTGCATATTAAGGTGTATTTAGCTGTAGTTCGAAGAGGTGCCCATATTTTGAAAAGAATCCTAATTTCAAGTTATCAGTCAATGATGCTTATGAGCTTCAGAGGAATGCTCTCCAGACAAATGCTTTGACTACTTACAATAGGGTCACCAGGGAACTCTTGTCACCATAACCACTACAGTGAGCAGTAGTGGTTATGGTACTTTGGGGTGTTCCTTTAATGACACCTATCACATATTCATATCATCAGTACCCTTGACTCTCTGTAATGTTCAGCCCATGATAAAATCAAACAACTTTAAAGCATTCATTTTTTTTCTCATTAATCTATCAACTCAATATTGCGAGATTACAAAGAATTCATGGTTACATGGTGACGGTTACGTAGGCCGTAAAAAGACTTGCATCTATAAAAATGAGCCTATGTCTTGTCTGTTTTTGCTGTTGATCCAAAAAGAAAGCAAAAAAACCCCTTAATTTGATGCACACTGTAAGGGCAACCCCTGGCATAAAAGGGGTTAACAGCCGTTTATGAGATATTCCCTTCCAGATATACAGGCAGCTACTGTAGACACCAATCCACCGAACCGGAGAAGCATACGAATGCTCTCAAACATACGAATGCTGTAAACAGCCGAATAGGAAAAACCATACGAAAGGTTTACACTCCTAGCAGTCGAACTGGAACAGCATACAATAAATCCCCCCCAAGAACGAGACAAGGCTCCGTGTTGAGGGTCAAGCAGGAACAGACAGAGCTGTGGGTTTATTGTTCTTATATACACATTCTTAAACATTAGTACCACCCACAGGATTTTGTAAAATAACCAATAAACACGTAATACACAGTAAAACACTCCCATAATGACATCACAATCCCTCTTCTCTATCCTGGAGATAATTGGGAAGTAATCCAATTATCTCCAAGGACAGAGGCAAAACTCCATTAAGCGCATGGCAGTAAAAATACAGTAAAATACAATAAAATA